CACACACACACACACACACACACACACACACACACACACACACACACGTGATCTGGTGGCTAGCTACTGCAAATGCTTTGACTTAACCTTTGGGTATGTTGAAGGAAATTTAGTGTATATCTGTTTCTGCTGCTTAAAAGTTTGCATTGGTCAGGTTAAGAAATGACAGTGATGGTGGGCTAGATGCATTCCACTTGGTGAGCGTGCACAAAGCCCTGATTTGATCCCTGGTACTTTGCAAGGAGGACAAGAAGGGTGGGAGAAAGAATGTGGGGAAAGGAAGGAGTTAGAAACAAGGAAAGAAAGAAATAGATAAAACATACTGGTGAAGTAGGGAACTTACCAAAAGGTTCACCCAACAGATGCCAGAGATCCCATGTCTTTAAAAAGACGCTTAGCGGGCTGGAGAGATGGCTCAGTGGTTAAGAGCACTGACTGCACTTCCAGAGGTCCTGAGTTCAAATCCCAGCAACCACATGGTGGCTCACAACCATCTGTAATGAGATCTGATGCCCTCTTCTGGTGTATCTGAAGACAGCTACAATGTATTCATATATAATAAATAAATAAATCTTTAAAAAAAAAAAAAAAAAGACGCTTAGCATCTGGCTGTGGTGGTACACCACTTTAATGCCAGCACTTGGGAGACAGAGGTAGGTGGATACCCTGTACTACAAGAAGGCACAGAGAAACCCTGTCCCCAAAAACCAGAAGAGAGAGAGGAAGAAACCCTTAGCAGAGAACAGTGATCTGGGAAAGCTGACTGTGCCCTCAGAAAAGACTGAGTTCTTCCTTTGTGCTGGAAGCATGACCCTGACCAACTGCAAAACAACTTCTACCTCCGACTGCCCAGACTCAGGACAGTCAGTGCAGCCTTAGGAAAGAGAAGCGGCAGCTCTTGAGCAAGCCTCCTGCAGATGCCGCTTTTAGCCAGCCATGGCACCTCCTGCCTTAATATTGCCCAGCATTCGGAGGCAGAGGCAGGCTATTAATGTGAACTTGAGAACTGCCTGTTGTATAGAGCAAATCCTGGCTAGCCAGGGCTACATAGTAAGGCCCTGTCTCAAAATAAAAAGCCACTTGTATCTGTTCTGGAGAAAGTACTTGGTATCTTGGTGGAAGCTGCAGGGAAGGTAACATTGGTCTACAACAGTGAGCAAGTTTTCCCCAGGGGCCCTTTTGGTTGTTCAGTACAGCAGTAAACAATGGCTATCTGGAGTGTTGGGTTCGGGGGTGTTTGTGTTCACCCTGTTCTAGGCTTTTCCTTCATACATATTTCATCTTTACAGTTCTGTAAAGACTCAGTGTTTTCCACCTTTACACTTGAAGCTGAGACCTAAAAAGGTGAAAAAACTCAGCCAGTTCTGAGGTAATGGTAGACAGAAGCAGTTTGGCTCCAGAACCCATGGGCTCAAAACCCGGTGTCACACTGCTGCTACTTAAAATAACGGGGGCAGCTCCCGTTTGTTCTGGCTGACTTTATCAGACTGTGTGTCTCAGATGACCTCCAAGGGCCAGGAGCCAACAACATAATCCAGATGTCATTTCATAGTCCTAAAATTGGCTTTTAGAGACATGGTGTAGCTGGGCGTGGTGGCACATGCCTCTGGTCCAAGATCTCAGGAAGCAGGCAGGTCAATGTGAATTTCAGGTCAGCATTGTCTACATAGTAAATTCTGTACCAGCCAATTCTACACAGTGAGACTTTCTCTGACAAAAAAAGACAAAGAGAAGGGAAAGACCTGGTAGAATCATTTATCTAGTTTTTAGTTTAGCTCTGCTGTGCCACAGGCAGGGGATCCAGTTGCCTTGTGACTCTTCCAAGAATGAAAGAAACTGGGCTGGCTGCAGACACATCCAGTGCTCTGGAAACGTGTGCCATCTTGTTCTAGGCTTTTCCCACCCCAGCTGCTCCTCCATTGGAGGACTGAGCAGTAGTCATCTTCTCGGCTGTGACTAACTCATGCTATGCCGCTTGTGTTTACCAGACCTCCCATTCCTGCCTCGTGTTCCAGCCTGTCCTGTGGCCAGAATACACATTTTGGAACCTCTGTGAGGCAATCCTGCAGTTTAAGCTGAACCATAATGCACTTCAGGTATGAGTCGGGCAGGATGGGATGGAAAGGTTGGCATTGACAGGCTTGCCTTGCACTAGACCTTGCTATGTCTTTCTTTTTAAACAATTTTTATTGTCTTTCTTTATTTGTGCGTTTCTGTGCGTAGCTGTGCCGTAATGAATGCGCCTGTGTGACGTAGTGCATGTGTGGAGGACAGCCGTTGAAAGGTGGTTCTCTCCTTCCTATGGTCATTATAATACTACTGCCACACACTGGCCATGACTGTCAGACACTGAACGTCTACACATTCCTCATTACTGCTTCCAAGAACTCAGTCAGTAGGGCTTGGTGTCTCTGTAAATGAGTAAATAGAGGGGGTGACTGGGACATGGTATACTGACGCTTTTAACCCTAGCATTCAGGACGCAGGTAGATGGAAAAAAGGGAGGGAAGGAAGGAGGGAGGGAGGGAGGAAGGAAGGGAGGGAGGGAGGGAGGGAGGGACTGAGGGACTGACTTATTGCTTAGGGACTAATATAAGAATAAGGTGTCCTGAAGACACAGGACAAATCTCAAAGAACCTAATCACAATCACAGCTGTCAACACCTACCTCTAATACTAGTTACTGGAAAGCTGAGGCAGGAGGATCTCAAATTTAAAGCCAGTGAATTTGAGACCATGTTTCAAAAGTTTGTGTGACAGTAGAAGTCTGCAGAGTCCAGAGCTCTTCTGGAGGCTTCCTGAGCGGCAAGGTTCTTTGTGCTGTTGGCGGTCTCCCTAACTCCTGTCTCCACTGCCAGTATGGGCAGAAGTGCCAACACCAAGCTGCTGTGCTGGTTCTGTCTGTTTTTATCTATTTAACTCTCCCTAAATGTATCAGCCTTGTGTCCTTACTTCTTCAGATATGAAAACAGGGACAGGAACTAACTGTGCCAAGGCCACAGAGCTAGGGACCAGAATTTTGAAATCATAGATGTTTCCTAAGTCTGGAGAGATAATGGGCAGGAAGAAGGATGATGTAAGTCAGGAGTCTTGTTGGTATTACTGCCTTTTTGGGAACCTAATGAAAGCCAAAGAACATGTGCGGAGCATTGCAGGGACGGTACTTACACTCAGTTACAGACTACTTTCATTGCAGGGTGGTACTTACACTCAGTTACACAGACTACTTTCAGGGTTCACAGGAGCCCTGAATATGTCCACATTCCTAGCATTAGTGACTTGAATCATGAGAGTTTTATCATCGAGTCTCAAAATACGAGTAATTTGAACAAGACAGCTTAGAGCAAGTGAAAAGAGAAATAGCAAAATGTCTGTTATCTGCTGCGGGGTGGGGGGGAGGGGAGGGGACAACCATCGGATTTTTTTCCATACAACTGGAGCTGCCTCTGAAACTGAAACATTTTCTATTTATTTTTTGATAAAAAAAACTTTCTGCAGTGCATCTTGTAATTTGACACCTGCAGTACAACTTGCGGTTGTCACTAGTGATGATTAGAATAGTCACTTTCGTTTTTCTTTCTTTCTTTTTTTTTTTTTTGGTTGGTTGGTTTTTCGAGACAGGGTTTCTCTGTGTAGCCCTGGCTGTCCTGGAACTCACTCTGTAGACCAGGCTGGCCTCGAACTCAGAAATCCGCCTGCCCCTGCCTCCTGAGTGCTGAAATTAAAGGCGTGCGCCACCACTGCCCGGCTGAATAGTCACTTTTTAACAATGGCGCTGGGAATGGTAGCCACCATCCTCAAGCACTTCACTGTACAGTGATGGAGAGTCGGACTCTATGTTATATAGATACCCGCCTTTGAGAATTCTCAGACAGTTTCCTAAGACCTTCCACTTTCCTCTACTGCTGTGTCAGTGGCTAATTTCGACAGCATACCCCTTCCCTTTCCTTCCTGTTTACTGTTTTAAGTCAGCTATAGGCAAAAAAAAAAAAAAAAGCAGGCAATTAACACAGTAGAGTGTGTATATAAAGTGAGAGTAAATTGACTCTGCATGAGGCTTGGCGAGCCTGGTGTGTGAGCCTTTGTGTGTAGATATTCTCGTGTGGAGACCTATAATTCCAATGCCTAGAGCCTTTATTATCTCAAGTTTCTCAGAGACTTGCACATGGTTTGTAGTGGAGTTGCCTCAGGCTCTGTCTTCTCCATAAGTATTTATTGAGTCTCTAATATAAATCAGGCATGCAGTTACATACAGGAGGGTCAGCAGTCACCCTGCCAGACAAATGTCTACCCTCATGGAGTTTGTAGTTTTAGTTGAATAACAGACAGTAAGCAAACAAACAAATGTCGGGATTTGCTCAGCCATAGTGAGTGTAAAGAGCACGGCCCAGTAGCAGAGTGTAGTGGAAGCAGGCTGTGAGCATGGAGGTTACACAGGTTAGGAACACTAAGGGGAAGGTGGGGACAAGCTGGGGTGCTGGGCCTCCTAAGCATTCAGAGTTTGGCACCTGGAAATGACACAGGCAAAGCCAATACACCATTGGTTTTGGGGAGCTCAGCAAGTCTGCTGTGCACAGTGTCCAGGACTTTATGTATACCAGGCCAACTGCTTCTCCAGCCCTACACCTATGTGCAGGCCTCTGTGTGTGTGTGTGTGTGTGTGTGTGTGTGTGTGTGTGTGTGTGTGTGTGTGTGTGTG